AAGACACCTTATGTTTGTCGGTTTTATTGAAGGCGTTTCAAACATTTTCATTATCACACATTTCAGAAAACACATTAAAACAAAGGCTTTCAATCCAGCTGGTTCATAGCTTTGTCTATATATAGTTTATGAAAATATTTAGAAGTGCAGCAACATCTCATTTCATTCTTAGTTCTGGCTAATGTGAGTGAGCTGAAAATTCATCAGTAAGCAAAGTTCTTGAATGTTGAAGAAAATATATATTATATATATATACACATATACAGGAAGAATTAACTTAGAAAGAATGATTAGTAATACAAACCAACCCTTGGCTCATTGAGTGAAAAAGAAATCATCATGCAAACCATCAGCAAGCAAAGGTCAGAGGTCGTTAGAGGCTCAGAAAAGGGGTTTCCCACATTGTCCCTGCAGCAGAGTCACAGTTTCCAATGATCACTTTTGTGACTATGCAACTGGGCTCATATTACTAGCTGCAACATCACAAAAATGACACTGGCAACCGCTAATTAGCTGGCAAAATAAGAATTTGTCCATTTTTAAAGTGAGCAGTGTTAGTAAATGCCATTGCACACAGCGAGAAGTGATAGCATAATAGATATATATTTTAAGCAAAGCCCTCACATGTGATGCTAATTATCTTTTAGCTTAGCAGTCCCTCTTTAAAGTGTAAATGTGCTCCCTCTGGGCTCAAGAAATATTTAATTACACATATCAGTGCATGACTAACAAGCTAGTCCAGAGCAATAATGATTGGTCTATTGTTCAAAATGAAATTAGGACTCCAGAAGCATTTAAAACTGACCAGTGGTTTCTGTAGTAGCCTCACCTCTCAGGGACTGTCTTTTGCACAGATTTTTAAAATATGTAGAATAATCTCTTTTTGGCAATTTATACCTACATTATGAAAGTATGATAGATTATTCTGCAAAGTTTAATGTATCTGCTAAATGCAAAATCATCTAAAATACTGTCTGATACATAGTAAGAGAAATGTAAGCTTTCAGTTTTCAAAGAGACTTGCAAAATTTACTTCAATAAAAATTTTAAGGTCCATATTTCCACAGACTCTGGGCAAGGTAATTTTGGGAATCCAATTTTTCTTGGTGATGAATTATAAAAAATAGAGGGTTGGTTATGTATATGCTTAATTTCATATATGTATGTGAATATATAAATATACACACATATCCATATATATATATATACAAACACACTGAATGCACATAAAAACATAGATTAAACGAAATGAGAGCAGCCCCTTCCTAGCACTACCCTACTATGAGTATGGTAGCGCTGTCAGACGTTTATTCTGGGGGCTTTATGACTCAGCTGTCGTAATCCAGTGGAGTTTGTACTTTAAATAGGAAGCTTCAGGTGCAAAACATGTATTGTATAAATGAATTTCAAATACATTATTTTAGCAATAGTGCATTAAGTTTTTTATTATTTAAAAACCAGCAACATCAGATGACCAAGAAAACTGAGATTCATAGACCAGCTATTGTGCATGCCAAAATTCCTTTTCAGGCGGAATTTTACTATGCATTCAGTATTATGAGTTCATTGTATAATATCTGCACGTAGCAAATGATTACAGTACCCTACACTGGACTGTGAATACATATTAAATGAACACTTGGAATTCAATTAAATCTTAACAGGTTCATTCCCATACTGGCTTTAAATACAAAGAATCGCAGCTCCACTACTCTGCTCATCGTTATAATTTTTCTTTTTCAAAGTATTGCACAACACTTCTTCAACATGGCTATTTAACCCTTACACAATGTCACTCTAAGCAGTGCTTTCTTGGTGATGTGAACTGCGACTTATTATAGATCTAATCCTGCAGTTCACGTAGGGACCTCAATTCTTACTGAAGCAAGTTGGAGTTGAGGTGCTCCGAACTTCAGACGTCCTGGCTGCCCAGGCTCATTTATAGTCTAGTTACAATTGCTAGCAGATTTCCCACTAACTTCAAAAAGGGCAAAATCGGACACTGCGTTGGCTCCGTGCTGCAGCCTCACACGACTTAATGGGACCAATTCAGAATTTTCACTACAGAAATTCACTACAGGCAACTTCCACAGTCCCACAAGCAAAGGGAAATCAACCTATAAAAATCACATTAAAGTTTGAACCCAGAGAAGAAAACCTTGAAAATTCAATTACAATTTCAACTCTGTCCTATGGCCATGCTTCCTTCCTCCACTATTGCCTTTGCGTTGCGACTCTGTAGCGTATCTTTCCATTCTTACCTAGCCATAGTTCCTAGTGACTCAGCACAGCTGTACTGCGTTACTTGACCTGCACCGTGTGTGATGACTCTCCGCTTTGAAAAGCCTTGCAATACGTACAAGAATACTGATGGATAAAAGGTGGCATTTAGCCTTAAATTTTTAAGGGTAAAATTTTGCCAACAGACAACTGTGCAACCAGCTCCCATTGGATGTAAGCCAGCTTCTCCCCTCAGGTGCAGATGCGTAACTGACTGGCATCAGTCAGAGCTCCCAGCACTTATTGAAAGAAAGAAGTTTGGACCTTTTGAGCACTGAGCCCCTTATAATCACTTCGGGGGGTTGTAGGTAATATTGTAGTACAGAGAGGGAAACACGCGATCCCATCGGCCGCTTGCGGATAGAGAACCAACTCCCCAAACCTCCCGGAGATTCTTTTCATTACTCATAAGCGCATCGCTGTGGATTAGCTGATACAGGCTAACACCTACACATGATGCACTGGGCACGGTTTGCAATCAAATGAAGATTATTTTGCTCCAGTATTTATCATGCATGGCTTTAATTTTCAAATTAAAATTTAGATAGACACAGCAAACATTAGAGAAGGTGGAAAGGACTTTCACAGGTTTTGCCTCTGTATATTTGTATTTTAAAGCCACATTGACTTTCTTTAGAATTCCAGAGGGTATGCTTTGTCAACATTTTCATCTGCTTTCTCAAATTTCCACCTTCCTGCAGCCAAAGAAAGTCGAGAGTCCTCACTGTTTGATCCTTACGAGCAAACGCTCCCATGGGAATGCCGTTATTGCCATATGACTCCATCGTGATTATTTTTTTTCTCAAGCGTGCTCATACTACATAATTTATTTGTGACATTCCTGCAATAAGTATCATAGAGGAGCCACACAAAAAGCCTGGAAGTTGCAGAATGGATAAATACTTGGAAAACAAAGAAATACAGAAGCACTGAAGAGCTGTACAAAGGGAGGAAAGGGATCGATCTCTAAATGGGAAATGAGTATGTCTTAAAACCAGGCAACATCTATGTGGGAGACAACACTGAAAATCAACCTACTGCAGATTTTTGTGTTAGTTTAGCATTGTGGCTTCACAGGCTGAGGAACTCCCTTTCAAATCAGAAATATTTAAAGGACCATTAAAAAGACTATTTTAGTTCCTCAGGTCTGTATTGTCTTAAATGAGCTGTCTAATTTGTGCTTTACCTGCGGAAATCCAGAAGTGATCTTGTGGAAGCAGGAACCCTCTGATCGTTCCAGCTGAGGAAGTGGAACTGCGTCACCGTGCGGGTCTCGTTCGTCTGCAGGTTCTTCAGGTAGAAGCTCCTCACGAGGAAATCCTCGCACCAGATGTGCTCAGAGACAAGGTTTACCTACACCCCGCAGGAAGGAACAAACAGAGATCAGCAATTTTGGTTGCAAGCCACATCTTCAGGATTGCAGGTGTAAGATGTCTGGGATGAAGGAATTGCATGAAAGTTTTATTTTTATTAGCAAACTGGCCAGTGCTGGGGAAACATTTTTTTTTTGATTTAGCAATCAGTGTAGTTGTCAGGGAGGGGTTAGCTGCCACTGCTATTTTATTGAAAACAAAAAAAAAAATCTTGAGAGTTTTAATGCAAAAGGAAAAATCACTACCTTGAAACTTTATATTGTTATGTGAATACCAAAGACACTGCCTGAAAATATGTTAAGATTGCCAGTCGCTTTCTACTTGGAAATGCCTACAATGCATTGCCCAGGCCACTCTCAGAAGTCTTAAAAATCTCAGAGTTGAATTCATGTGAGAAGTGAAAAGTCCATTTCTTCTGCTATGTAGAAAAACAAGCATAAAAAATGCAGCTGATTTGCAGGGTTCATCATTTCAGAAAAAAAGTTTCTTCACATTTTGGTTTAAATAACTGTATTTCTTCACATTTTCCTGTTCTTGGTATTTGGCACTGTGGTATTATTTTCTTCCTCTACTCAGCTGGACAACTGGAAAAATCTGACATCCATTATTAATGTTACATTGCACCAAAACTAGTGATACGATATTTTGGGCTAGAAATGTAAAGCAGAAAATAAAAATATATATTTATTGTTGTGACTGAGGCAAGAGGTAAAAATAGGTAGCATTAATTACTAAAGCTATATAGAGGCTTTTCTGTAAAGATATATATATATGGTTTTCCTAAGGCAGAATTCACTAGTTCTAAAGATACTATTTTCCGATAAAATATAAATACACGGTTTCAACCACTTGCAAAACCGTTTGAAAAACAAAATTGTTGTCCTTTTTTCACTGTAACACTTGGCTTATTATTTACTGGATTTTATTCAGCAGAAACTACCTTGCTATTAAACCTGTGCTTGAATTTTTCACAAATCTAAAACTACTTGAAGGCACACGAAGAGTATTTAAGAGCCCTCAGCTCGACCTTCAGGTTAGATCGGCTTAAACACCATTTTGCCCCGTAGGAAATCAACCCGTACACTTACTGTCACGTTTACAACCAGATATTTTGTTTAGGTACCTCATAGATGTGGTAGAGGTTTGACCCTTCGTCTGGCCAATAGTGGTAGCACTGTTTGACTCCGTTTTCCGCGAGGGGTGTCAGCATGACAATAACGACACAGCCGTTCTCCCAGACCATCTGCAGACAAAGAAAGACACCGTGGCCACATTGTGACTGCCTAATTACTGCGTGACATGTATAATTACCGCACTCAGACACACAATCAAAATTTATTCCATTCACAGGAAATTTATTTCATTTTCATTAGACACTTTTACTCTGCAGCTGCTTTCAAATCCCTGAATAAACTGGCACCATATTTTGCAGGCGTCCATGAAATATTAAAGAATTTCCAGCGATTTCAATTCGGGTCTTCCACAAAATCTCTCCTCGCTCCTGGTACTGTGTTCAGCTGCTTTTCTGGCAAACTTTTAGACCCGCAAAGGGAACACTGAACGATGCTTGCAGAACACACAAGTATTTGCATTTTGATATTTAATACTTAGACAGCATGGACCTACTGAAGTCGCAGGTACTGAAACCTGTTTGTGTCCTCAGCCCTATTTCTTTTTACAGTTCACCATGTAGCAAAAGCTACTAAACTGCCGCATTGCTGAAACAATCATAAAAGTTGCATCTGAACAACAGTAATGAGGAAAAGGCAGGAAAAACTCAAACCAAATCTGTTCTTCCAGAAACATCTCAGATGGAGAAATCATGTCTGCAAAAGCACATTTATAAAAGATTTGTTGCAAACGTGCATTACTTTCTTTTTCTTCTTCCTTCTTTTCCTCCTTCTTTTTTTCTTTCTTTCCTTCCATGTTTCCTTTTTTATTTTCTTTCTTAATTTTTCTTTTTTTTCCTTTTCCCTTTTCTTTTCTTTTTTCTTTTTCCTTTTAATTTTCTTTCCTTATTTTTATCGCATCCATCGTCTCCTTCCCCCACCCTTCTCTCTGTCTTTTCCCCTTTTACTTTCCTTTTTTTTTCCTGGAGTTAGAAGGAAAGTCCAACTCCTGCTGCAGACTGTGCACTCACAGAGCACAGGTACAGCAGGAACAGAGGAAAACTGTATCTTCACTACCAGCATGATTGCTTAATAATTTAGACCAGCTACAGAGTAGGATACAGGAATCCAGCACATCCTCAACTGAAGGATTTGTGGATGTCTCCCACAAACAGCATAACAAGCAGAGATGCTCTGGTCTGGCGTATCTCTGTTCCAAACACAGCCCATGGCTGAACAAAAAGACTCCTATGAATTAATACCAAGCAGCATAATCACTAAAAACTGTTATTATTATGCTGTACATTGATGTTATATTTGCATACAACTTTCATTGTCTTTTTGCTAGCATATAAAATTACTGAATGAAGAGTAAACTGCTCTTTTTGTGAAGGGTTATGTTTATTTCACAGAAATATTTATAAGCAACTGTATTGACATGTAAATTTTGTAAACAAAAAAGGCCTTTGTCTAAACTGTGCAAAGATGAGATGATACATTCAATTCAAGGATTATTTTTTTTTAATTACATATCAAATAAAAAGGTTTCCCATTCATGGATAATGATGTTGTCTTCTCTTTTAAGAATAGCTTGCATATAGAGAAACAAATAACATTTTTCTTCTTTTTTTTTCATTTTGCAACATAATTAAAACAGCTTTTAAAACCAGCTTAGAATTATTTAGAGAAATGAATCTATGGTTTGCACAGAATAGGGTTATTTATAATTTTGAACAGAAGTGGGGAAAAAAATTACAGCTGAAAGTAACGAATAAAAATAATCCTTCTTATCTTCTTTTTTTCCCCCTTAAAAAGATTTTTTAATTAAAAATACCTGTAATCCATTCACCCTCCTGTTAAAAACTCACAATGCCACAAAACCAGCAAAAACACTTGAAGTTGATAGATAATTTATGTTATAGACAGATGTAGATTTATCATTTGTATCTTTTTTGTACTGCATTTGTTTTAGGCCACAGCTGGGAACCTGCTTTGTATGTAAGGAAGATGATATAGATTTCATTCATTCTAATGTAGTTTCACCTTTTTTAGTCAGCGATCAGACTAAGATAAGAATTCAAAACATGTATCTTACTTTAAAACTAGCCCCACTAAATCAGTACTTTCATCACATAACGATTTAATGTGCCTCTAGAAGGTATAGAAGCTCATTGAAGCCATTACGAAAATGAGGAGAAACACAGTTTTTATGAGTGTAATAAAAATACAATGATCTAGACCATAAACTAATCATCTAGCACTCTGCTCGTGCCACCCAAGTGTAACATTATAAAAGCCCCCTCGTTTAGAGAGGAATCCTTACAGTTTGGCAACCCTGTTCATTGGTTCAAAGATACAGCATTTCATTAGAGAGGGGCTGTCTGCATCTCTGAAGATTTCATTAAGCATAAATCCAAATGAAAGTTAATTTAAACAAACAATTTCAAAGTTACTCTGGGGTATAATATTTCTTTTAGGTCATTGTGTGAAAATGTAGAAGTCAAATCTACTAAATCAAGAAGGCAATACAATCTAGTGCCGTCATCCCTGTTACAAGCAATTGTCACTGCATCTCCTGTGCTCGCCATTGAGATGGGATTTTCACTAAGACTCACAGCCTGTGACTGGACGACTACAGCATTTTCTTTGTTTCCTTGATAACTTAAATATTAGGCCATCAGGCTGTTATCTGGATTTCTTTCCAAATAATGCAGAAGCGGGATGACTCAAAGGCAGTTCACAGAGTTTTATACTGTTGCCTGTGCACTGCCCCATCTTTAACTTGGTGATGGGTTTTTCAGAAGCCACATCTCCAAACACCTAACACTTTGCTGTGCTCAGAGTGTCCAGACATGGCCATGTGCTAGAAAGTGGCCCCAAGGAGTGTGTCTTCGCAATTAATGAAGAAACAGGGAGCACAAACCTGGTCTGCACAATCCCAGTACAGCCATTGGAGAAGTGCCTCTGGTTACCAAAGAGACATTTCAGCTGGGGTTGGAGAATAAAGGAGGAGGTTCAGTTGCAAATTCACAGTAACTCACATAATTCTGAACTTTGTATGCTTTCACAATAGAAAGTAAGTCAATGCATGTGATAAAAGAATAAAAAGAATATAAGGTTCTCAGGGCAGAGCTTTTTCTTTTTAGGTAGAGCCCAGTAAAATTAAGCCTTAGACTTTAGTAAAAACTATATGTAAAAATATTTATATATATGTATATATTTAATAAAACAAATATAATATATAAAATGAAACTTATTTAGATCACTTAGCACAGGCAGTTTCATGTTTGTAATTTATGGTAATACTTCTAGGAGAAGAAGAAATGTTGAATGGAGTCTTCTGAATGGAAGTGATAAAGTCTGAGTTACATATAGGAGCTCACTACAGAGCTCTGCAATGCATGCTTTGCTGAAAGGGGAAGACAGTATATAATTTTGTGTGACATGTCTACCTTCAGCCTAGAGAGTAACATGTTAATGATCTTTAATGAGGTTCTGCTGTATGCATCATTCTCAAAACATTTCTTAGACAAGAATAACACCATCCCTCTCCATTTATTGCAAATTAAAGGCTGAGTCCCGCAACCCAAAGATGAACAGTGCGTTTGACATCTGCAGGATTCCCTGTTGATGAAATCCACCATGTGTAGAGACCTCATGCTGTGGTTATCTAGCATGCCAGTCCCATACAAAGGACTTCCGCATTGGGATGAATTATACTTAGTATGAATTACTTGCAAAGGAGCACAGAATTGGTTTTTCAAGTAAGGAAAAAAGTAAAGTCACAAATAGGAGAATCAGTGCCACAACACTGCCACAAATCCAATAAAACACCAGTTTTTGAAAGCTTGTATTTTAAAATTCCCTTGTTTATTAGCTTGTAAATAAAACAGTTAATATGAATCCCTTTGCTTTTTGCAAACACTTCATCATTGCTATGCTTCTTTCTATAATCAATGATCTGCCCCAAATCCCTTTTTCAGTCATTTTCTTCCTTAGTTCAGTGATGGGGAAATGACAAGACATGTGCTCCGACCAGACACTCTTCTCTTGACGGGGACTGGTGGAGAAGTTTCTAAAATGTGATGACTTAAACATAGAAAATAGATGGGATAATCAGTTAAGTCCAGCCTGTTCACTAAAAATAACAGGCTAATCACATCAGCTGCTTTCTGGGAGAGATCTCCAGTAAACTAAAGAATTCACCTTTTCAGTCTTTTAGGCTTCCCAGATAGTTGGTAAATGCAACTATTTGGAAACGCATACAAACAAGCAAACAAAACCCAAACAATTTCTAATGATAATCAAAACTCAACATGAAAAAACACAACTCCTAAAACAACAACAAAGCAAGGTACTAACCCTTGCTGGATCAGAAAATATTCACCCCATTACATATCTTGAAAGTCATTAACTCAGCTGTGACTTCTTTCAAGTTCTCCACTGGAAACAGGAAACACTGTATGAATGGAGACAGTCAGAAATGGTATTTTCTGGAATAGTTTAAAACCAAAACCCAATGTTTTAATGGGTTAAAAAAAAAAGCAGGAGCTTTTAACTGAAAAAAAAAAAATTGCAGGGAAATTCAGATTTTTGTTATCAACTAGAACTTCACAATGTATGCCAGTCAAAAAGCAACCTTTTTTGCAAAACCTTTTGGTTGAAAATGACTTAGCATTTTGATATGAAATGGGCCAAATCTGGGAGTCAGAGCTGCCATTTACAAAGTCATAGCTGTGCCAGACAGCTAAGCAAATCTGTACGTTGAAAAATTAATGATCAACAACCTATGTTTAATTAAAAAATTATCTGACTCTTGCAGTTGAAAAGATGACTTCAGAGAGGACCATAAATACGTGGCTGTCAGAGTGGCTCCGTGTGTTATGTCCCTGCTGTTGCAGCAGCACTTGTTTGGAAGTCAATGGGAAAGGCAAACTCAGGATGACTATATGTGTTGCAATAACTTCTGCTTTTTCAGAGAGACATAAACTGCTCTTATTCTTCTCAGTAGACTCCTAACTCAAGCCTTATTATTAAATAATTTAAATATGAGCACTACTTAGTATTGCAGTGCTGACAATATCACGTTAAAGAGGGAGAGTCCACCAAAATCACCAGTAACTAGCTATTCACT